AGTCATGATACTGACTGGATCAAACCATTTTCTTGCGGGTAAGTCCACTACGTCTGCACGTCAATTGTACTCGCGTATCAAATTTATTTATCCACTTTTTTTTTTCTCTTTATTTTTCTTATGCCCCCTCCCCTATCCCCCCACCACCACATATGGCTAAAATTTTATCTTGTCTGTTTTTTTGTAATTTTTATTTTTTAGCCCCACTCTATGGAAATTTCTCAACTTTAAAATATCGATTAGCATGATATAAAAATATTCATTCCTCTCAAGATGATCCTGTAGGGTAGAAATCACGCGATGTTCCCACACCATTAAATAGTCAGATGATATTATGATATGACAATAGAGAAAAAATAATTTTCAGGACCGGTGGGACTGACAGCATTCCTAGGAACAGTTGCTGGATTCGTAGCACTACTTTTAGTTTTATTTCTCTATCTATCGAAAAAATGGACATTAACACCTGTAGCACAGGCAACACTGTTCGGTGGTATTTGTGTGCCACTGAATGAATCCGGGAATGGTGATGGAATTACAGGGCATAATTCAGCTGTGAAGAATTTAGGAAAAATTGTTGCATATCCCGATCCGGAGACTAGTTCTGATTCCGAAGAGGATGCTCTCAGAAGACTTCAGAATTCCCACTCGCATATTGGTCATTCTGATATTTTGACAATTCAGACAGAGGATTCTCCTACAGTGGTGAGCACAGGAAACGCAATGATGATTGATAAAAAAGAGTGTGTTGTTGATGTGGGTTCTCCAAGTATGATACTGGACAGTCGTGCCTGTCAGCAAAACGTTCAGGATGAGGAAGAAGAGGTGGAGGAGGAAGAGGAGGAAGAGGAGGAGGAGGAGGAAGAAGAGGAGGAGGAGGAAGAGGAAGAGGAGATAATGGAGGAGATGTGTACACCGTCTTCATCGTCAAATGAGCCCCAGCAACCACTGAATGGAAGCGATGGAAGCGATGGAATGGATGAGTTCGGTTGTCTCGAAGTAGCTTTTCTATATGACGCTCCAATGCGTGAAATGACGGTACAAATACTCCAAGGTAGAAATTATCCAGCGGGAATCGGTGGTAGCCAAGTGCGTCTGGTTCTTTTGCCCTCAAAAAAACAAAGACGTAAGACTCGAGTTCGCCAGGGCAGTTCACCCCAGTACATGGAGAGTTTTTTATTGCCGAGAGTTAATCCTGAAGATGTTAACGCTATGGGAGTCAGGATGAGGGTTTATCAGTGGAGTGGAAGAATGCGTCGGGAGAGATTGTTGGGAGAGACTCGTGTTTGTTTTGATCAGATAAATTTGCAATTGGAGACAATACTTTGTTTACCACTGCAACCACCACCTCGTTCTTCTGTTCATGACTGGGGTACTACCACTAGTTTAACCAGAAGTGATTCGACTGGTTCTCAACAGTCAGTCCAATCATATGCATCTCCAACAACACCACCTTATGGCAGCAGTATGAAAGGGGGTAGTATTGCTGAAATACTCATTGGTCTTGCTTATAATGGTACTACTGGACGTTTATCAGTGGAAATAATAAAGGGCTCACATTTTCGTGGTGGCGGTGGAAGTGATACCAAACCCCCCGATACATATGTTAAACTCACATTGGTTGATAGTAATGGACATGAAATGGGCAGATCTAAAACTGGATTGAGACGTGCACAGCCAAATCCACTGTACAAAGAGACATTTATATTTCAGGTTGCTCTCTTTCAGCTTGGCGATGTAACTCTTTTTATTTCCGTCTACAATCGACGACGATCAGCTATGGGAAAAAAAGGACGTGAAATGATTGGGTGGTTATGCCTAGGGCTCAACAGTTCAGGGCCAGAGGAACTTCAGCATTGGAATGACATGCGTTCTGCACGTTCACCTACACAGGTCCAGCGTTGGCACTCGCTTTTACGTCCGTAAGTTTTTCTCTTCCTTCTCTTTCAGTTATTTCCATTATAATAATCGAGACTGCTATGCTGCTGTCCTTCTATTGCCAACTTTTGCAATTCTTCACAGAATTACAAAACTTCATTGATATTATATAACAGAACAAAAAACAAATCAATCAAGAGAATTTACAATATACATTGTTAAAACTCGAGGGGGGAGCACCGCTACGCGGAGTCAGTAAAATTATTATCAATTACTTCGCTAAAAACGGACTTTTCATTATTCTTCATGAAATCAACAATGTGTTTATCATTCGCGAGTTAAATCAAGCCCAGACACTATAGCGGGTTATACGGTTATTAGAAGTTTCTCATTTTTATCGATTTGTCGTCGAGTTGCAATTCTTGTCAATGGTGAAAATCGATTCACTGGTGACCTTAATTCATCATTATTGTTGCAATGAAAACAAAAAAAATGAACGAAACAGTCAAGTAAGTGTAAAGACAGAAACATAGTATTTCTTATATCCCATTTGTGCCTCAACAAAAATGTCAACTTCGGCCTTTTTTTCTTTTTACGTTTTCTGACGTTTTATTCCAAAACGCTAGTCCATCCCTAATTAAAATCTATCCAGTTTTGAAATAAACATATGGATAATTAATGCAAAATTACCTCCTTCCATGAGTCTTAGTTTAACTTTATTATTTGAAATTTTTGACTTGAACCAAGTTGTATGCGTGTCGCCAAGTGCATTACTTGAAGGAAAAAATTTTCTTATTATCGTGAGAAATATGTGATGGTTTATCGTTAATTATTTATATCTCATCTTTTTCAATAGGCGTTGTTCTCATTGAGAAATCTCATAAATTAAGCCATTCGCTTATTATAATAGAAGATGACTACATAGAGAATAGTAATGAATGACTTTATCAAATCTGTAGATATATGTTCTCTATTAGCATATCGTGGTATTCATTTACTTTTTAATGAAATACTTTTATGCTTTTGCCGATAATTCGGTATTTCTTCAAAATCAATCAACCATTTGTTTTACATATGCTTAATTCATCAATGATGATGAGACGCTCATAAACTGCGGAAAGGAATTGGATATTTCATTTTTCAATGACAAGATTTCCTGAATTCTGTCAAAATTAAAATCCATAACAAATTTACCAATTCAATCTTCAAAATTTATGATGATGTCTATGATGTTTGGAATATGGATCAACTCTTGATTAATTTCTACTCTTTTTCTTCGTCTATATTTTTTGCTATTATAAGTGTTAGCCCAAACTCCTATCCATTTTTTTCGTCGTGAATATTAAAAGATGAATCGTGCGTGTTACAATTAAGTGTTTCGTTCTCAATTATGGAAAACTCATTTAAAAGCAAATTATAACGATTGAATGTGATCTTAATATTAATAATATTCGGAACTAAAGCAGCTGCAGTAGAAAATTACTCGATTTTAATGATGATGACATTGATGAAGGATAAATTACTTAGGTGAATAGAATGAGAGCAGGTGGATGAAGTTGCTGGTCGAATTCCCTAAAATTGAGTAATTTTTGTTATTCAAATACAATTGAGACCTATTATATTGAGATTTTTATAATGAATGATGACGAATAAAAAAAAATATATGTAAAGAGTTGATATGTAAACTAGCTAATTGTTTTCTTTTTCTATTCTCAGCGTTGGAAAACTGTTGTCATAGCGCTAATATATTTATCCTTGAATATGATATCGTGATTTTTTTATTTCAATAAAAAATAGAATCATAAATTTAATAACAATCAATATTTTTTATCCATAATTATTTGTCTATAACGAAAACAGTTGCACCCTTATTCTCAATGATATACATACTAAAATTTGTACGTCTATTGCACAAAAATAAATTAGAATATCTCGAATAAATGTTACAACATGGTGGTACATGAATTAATATCTATGGTGTTTTGTAAACAAATTAATTATATTAAAAATTGTATTAATAAAATAATCACCCACTTCGGAAATATTCACTTAAGTTGATGATAAAAAAACCATACTGAGTATATTCAATACAATGAATTTTTATTCCCACCCTTCATGTACAATGAATTAATAAAGAGCCTTAGAGAACATATTTTTCTAACAATTCCTGTTTCTTTCTGGCCAGCAATGCTTGACAAATGTCATGTTGTGTGGGTACAGCTTTTTGTTTTGTATCAAGTTGAGAATTTTCCATTTCGATATCTTTTGGAGGAGTCCATTCTCTCAGAGATTTTTCTCGGGCCTCTTGTTCAGCTTTTTGCTCCAGCGGTAATAAAATACCATCATCGTCATCTCTGTATCCATAATAATCTGCATCTATATCTTTCATCAATTCAGCTCGGGTTTTTCTGGGTGGCGGTGGTGGCTCCTGTTCAAATAACTCACGAACACCTGGCAATTCTTTGGCAGCTCCAAAATATTTATATCCTCGGTTTCCAGGCACCTAAATCCCACAAAATTTTCCTTATAAATTTGTATTTTACATAAATATAATATTATTTTTAGATAATATATTTTTTATTGAATTATTTCTTGCTCTCTACCTCACGTCCTTCGTGATCCAACATTTTTGGACCAACTCGGGGATAATCTGGACCTCCCAATTCCTTAATTTGTGCCTCCCAATGCCGTTTCTCTCTCAATAATTTGTTTATTTCATCATTGAGATCACGTATTCTGAATTCACCCAATCCCGCATTTTGAATCTGTGCTACTTTTTTGGCAATCTCTCGGATAATTTGCATTCTCCATTTTTCGGCTTTTCGCAAGTCTCGACACTCCGAAGCGAGATATGGTCGTCTTTCTTGTTCCTTTTTTATCCCCTCGCCACTCTGTGCGGCTCTCCATCGAGCCAATGTTGTCCTGAATGACAGAGGCATTTAAAAATCAATACAACTTTATCTATTTTATTTTTATTTTCATTTTAGAAGGAGATTTTATAGTGATAATAACCAATCCTTGATGATAGATAGGTGAAAATAAATTTTTTAGAGATAGAAATAAAGTAATGAAATATATTTCCCAAATTACTCTTTATTTACTTCAACTTACATAGCTTTCTCTGCATTACGAGCCTGTAGAATAATTAAAAAATATTAGTATTAAATATTTATATGTTAAGACAAACATGATGAAACATTTTCCAATTTATAATTACTTACCATTATTTTCTTTCTACTATTTGTAAATAAATATAATAAAGAATTGTTGTTGCATACAATATTTTATTACTAGTGTTCTCTCCGAATAACCTGTTTTATGCTCAAAGCATAACAATTTCCTAGCGTGGACTGAAAAGTGTCATGGCAGAGAGCATGTAAAAAGTGTCATGGGCGATGAGCCAAAGGATGCGTTCTCATGTGACGCGTATTTGAGTCGATTTTGGATTTTTTGTGAATTTTGAAAAAATTGGCATACATCGCCATTACGTCGAAGAAACATCCCCAAAAGGTCGAACAAATATATCCCTTTCGTTGTAGTATCAAATTAGTGCAATCCATCTTTTCCAAGTTAACTCTGAAAGAAACTGAATTCAATTTTTATTATCTGTTGGGGATGAAATATTCAATATAAATAACTGGGAGATATATCTAGGGAATCGTACCTTTTCCAAAATCAATATTTCTCCATTGAGTGCACCTCACTGCACCTGAAAATTTACATTTTTAAAATTTTTGTATTTTTTCGTCTTATTTTATCCCCTAAATCGAAACCTATTTTGCGCCAATAAAATACTAGACGTCTGAAAAAACTGGGTATTGTGTGAATAGGTTTGACATTAATACTTCACAAGTTCTACAACAATCTTTATTCATAATTAAATCTTACAGCCACTTGTACATTATTTGTTAAATATATTTCGAAATATTTACGATAGCGTGGAAATTAAATATAAATTATCAATGTCACTATGCAATTAATCATCACAATTATTATTTCATTCAATTATATTATTTTCGTAGGATTTTTTCTTTAAATTAATCATTTCAGTATCAAGTTTTGTTTCATATAACTATTCGATCATCGCTGGATAATGGTTATATACACATCAGAGACCTGTGTCGTATTTAGGAGGATGAATGTCGTCTAGTTTTTATGTAAATCGGAAAATTGGAGTTGACATTCTGATCTTACTATGGCTCATTAAAATTGACTACAATGACATCGTCACTAAATAGCATTTAACGTTTAGAGTTTTTCCTGTAAAATTAAATTCTCTCTCGAAATTATATAGCAGCCTCCATGTAATTATCGAATCCATTAAATAACAGAAAGGTATATTTAGACAAAAGAATCAAAATGCCACTGGGATCGAATGTTAATGGCTTAAAAAATAATAAATTAAATATGTCATTTGTC